TGTCAAAAGATGGCGTCAAATTGACTAGAACTGTAGTTACAGGTGGTTGTGAACCGCCATGTGGGTGTTGGCAAATACAACTGAGTCTTCTATAAGAGTAGAAAGTACCTTTAACCTCTGAGCATTCTCTCCAGACTCCACTTTAAACAATTTCAACTGAACCAAATATATAAATAAACTCTTAGTTGTCAAGGTTTTGAGCAGAAATAGTATTTTTAATCCAAAGTATTTTCAATATTTATAAATAAATGTAACAAAGTGAGGCTTCTTGGAGCTATTTGATAAATTCCCAAGCACTTGAACATTAAATCTGAAAACAACAATCTTAAATATACTGTTGGTTTTATTTTATTTGGTTTGGTCTAATAGCGTAGTAGAACTTCCAAGATCATCAGAAATCTGTGAACTCCATCAGCAATTAATGAAAAGTTGTGTATTACGTTATAACTGGAAATAAAATGCTAAAATTGATTAAGATCTAAATAATTAAGTCCTTTCAGAAGTAACCCATTTCGGAGAGCTGCTATTCTCTGAAGGTTAAGGAAACCACTGTCAAAATACAAAGAAGGAGAAAAACACCTGATGAATAATAGCATTGCCTTAATGTCTTTACTGTAGTCTATTTTGATAAGCACAAATTGAGCATTTTATAGAACTCATACAACTATAAGAACTAGATACAACCATAACTATCATTTTATGGAGGGACAAATAGTAAGACCTTGATATTCAAACACCCTGGCTATTTACAAACACTTTAGCCTATTTATAATCTAGATATAAAAATGCATGCATATATCCGTCCAAGTCCATAGTGCTTGACACAGAAACCAGGGTTTTGTCATACTAGACAAGCAGTCTACCACTAAGCACATCACCAAAACCACCTATACCTTTTAACATCTCTTCTACAGCAATGTTTCTACTGGCTCAGAAGACCCTCTGTCGAAATAAGCTTCAAATGCAGCCATAATAATTAGTTGTCTCAATGTTTCCCCTGAGGAATTGGCAATGTTCTATTTTTTCCCAAAATATACTTCTGTTCCTTCCATTAGTCTTGTTTTAAAATTTTAGCTGAAGTCAGTATTTCTTAAATTACATTGTGTGGAACCTAAGAGTGCTTACTAACCAAAAGCTTATCCAATTTTGTGAATTTAGGAAATGCTGGAATAAAAAATTAATGAGAAAACTGCAATGTTTTTGTATTCTTATGAGTAGTATGAAGCTTCAGAAGATAGGTATGACTTGCTGTTTATCCCACTATTTCTGGCAGCTGAGATCCAGGTCTTTTAGCTGTCAGCTACCCCAGGAAGCCTAGTTGTAGAGTATAGGCCATCTCCCTCTCAACTTCTGTTTTTCTCCCTCTACTTCTGCTCAATGCTCTGCTTGTGCCCAGACAGAATATGTTTCCTTGCCTTTTGTTTTCCTCATTGGATTCACACCCAGATAGTCACCCCCAAAATCCCAAAATTGCCTTTCTAGCCCCACACTGTTGACATATTTTATTCTTACTTGTTATGAATCACAACCCATGCAAATGTGGTAAAAGCAGTTTCTGAATTAATTTTATTATAGTATTTTTATTAAATCTTTGAGAATTTCACACCACGTATTTTTGGATCATATCCCACCCCCCACTCCTCCTGCTAACTCATCCCAGATCCACTTTCCACTCACACTCCCTCACAACTCTTTGTCATCTTTTTCTTTTTTTGATAACCCACAAAGTCCAATTTGTACTGCCCATATTCATGGGTATAGGACCATCTACTGTAGCAAAGTCAACTAGCTAGTGGCAATAGCTTTGAAGAAAACTGACTCTTGCTTCCTTAGAAGCCATCAACTGTCAATAGCTCCACACTTAGGGGTTGGGAGTTCAGGAGTTTGTCTCCTCTTTGTGAATGTTAACCGGCTTGATCTTGTGCAGGTCTTATGCAGACAAGCTCAGCTGCTGTCAGCTCATGAGTGCAACAGAATTTTAAATTTATTGTGCAAATATGTGTCTCTAATTAAAGTTCAGTAGACAATTACAGGCCAATTGTAACTTAAGCCAAAAAATAAAGCCTGGTTACCAAATTGGGAAGAGACGAGCTTACCCATGAATTAAGGATAGTTCACACTCACTTTTCCAATTCAGAGTAAAGACTTTTGAGTTCCAACTTTCATCTAGGTAATGTGGCCAAAGAATGAGAGAGATTTGGGGTTGGGGTGCTGTGTATTTTCTTATCACACTAGAAGTCATATCGTGGTTTGGCAACTACAAATATCCAATAACAGACGAATAACCTCACTAAATGTATAATCCTTCCTCTTTAGTATTTAAACCAATAACCCTCTTACATATATAGTCCATCCTGTGATGAAAATAATTTTAAATTGAGGAAATATCATTTATTCAGCAGTACAGCTTCATAAAGTGCCCATTTGTATTGTACTTTGAGTCAGTTTTGTATCATTTATTGGGTATTGATTTTACAATCGTCCAGCTACATCTTTAGCTACATGTATGGTTACCAGTTCAACTCAGTTCGTGTTGACCTCATGTCCTTTCCATAAATACTTGCCTTGGTTCCTATTCTTTCGCACTTGACTAGTATTGAAGACAATTCTAACACTTAGAAACTTAACCCTCAAGCTACTGTGCCCAAGAAATCAGATTCTATTTCCACGCCATATGTTATAATTAAGCAATAGAAATCTTGGAGGTTGTCTGAATTGTCCTTGATGCTTTCTTGGAATTACTTAGCAAGGAGGAATTCTAAACTCTCCTAGAACACTAATCATTAAAATTGTTTTTCATTTATATATCATCACAGAGAATTTTAGACAAATACCCAGGAACCAATAAATGGTTTAGAGTGAAATATTCTGTTGTCTGCTGTGGTGAGTGGCAACTTGAGAAACTCTATAATGTGCTTTTCTAGACTACAGTAAATTACTGAAAGGTGAAAAGTTAAAGCTTGAAAAAGAAATGTTGGAAACAATCTTGAAGACAAACATATTAATGTTTACACAAGTATTGGGCTCACTGTGTCCCTCAATGAATGAAAATGCAAGAATAACCATTATAATGGAGTATTTTCTTACAAAATGCGAAGAGTAAAGGGAAAAAACAAAAACCACAAGAAAAAAAAAACAGCACTTTTTCCAGTTGAGCAAAAAGTTGAGTCACTAAAAATCATGAAATGAGCCATGCTGCTAAAGATTTTGTCATAGTAGTTGTAAAAGACTCCAAACTATTTCTAAGCTGAGCATCTATGAAAAATAACTCAGGAGATTAAGCATCTTCTTTTTTATGTTGAATGTGTATTGGCTAAAGTTACCAGGACCTACTTATATTACATAATGTTGAGGTAGGGGCAACAGACAAGGTTCTGCGACGTAACAAATTCTGAGGCATCACTTTGCTTGTTCTGCCTCAGTGTGACTTGGGTTCAGTCAGTCTTACTCTGCTTGGCATTAAAGCTCTCAGTGATGGCAATACCCAGAACATCAAGCTGTTGTGGGAATTAGATGAGATGAAACATGAAGGTATTTGCATGCTTGGCACATATCTGCTCAATAAACATCAGTTAGTATTATTTCTCTGATACTAGTTATGATCTATCAATGCCGGCATCTAAATTGGAACTTAAATACGGTGATCATATGCCTGGAAAACAAAGCTTGGGCTGGGTTTTTAACAGACATTAGTTAATTTACAATTCCTGTAACAGCAGAATGATGAGAGAATTTGGGCAGCTGGAACCTGATGCCTTTATTTTAGACCAACAAGCTGCACTGCAGTGCCACTGTAAGCCACTCTGGTCTAGACTGTAGTAGTAGGCATCAGAGAAACTGTTCAACTTGAAAGTGTGTGGGCCTGGAAAACACTGTACACTAAGAGGCAAGGGTTTGTGGTCCCTGGAATGGTAGAAGCTTCCTTATATAAGATGAAAGACTAACTGCAGTAGCAGGAAGCATGAAAATACTAAGAAACACACTTTCACAAACACATGTGCCAGGTCTCCAGCCAAAATTCAAATATATTCTTTAAGGCAACTTGAGAACTTTTGAGAACAATTCTTTTATAATCATCATCAAATGCATGCCTAAGATTACCAGCATTTACTTCAACCTCATGTGATAAAGAATAGACTAAGAGAGATCATCCAACTTTTGATGAATTCACAAAACATTTAACTTTAAAATAAAAGTAAGGCCAGACATGAGGTCACACATCTGCAATCCCAGCACACAGATAATTTAGCATAGTCACAAGTTTCAAGATTACCCAGACCTATATAGTAAATTTCATATACAAATTTCTTATACAATAGGAAAATGATTTAAAATTACAATGAAAACAATGTAAATACAAATAAATTTGTGTATTGTGTCATGTAGACTCTTCAATGTGGCAAAACACCTGGGCTACACTATTTCTCAGTAGAAGAATTTGTTTTGGCTCATGTTTTGGGGGTCTTTCAGGCAGTCATGGGAAGAGGGCAGGTGAAGCCAGCAGCTCCCTCTGTGGTGACCAGGGAGCAAAGAGGAAGCAAGAGTGCCCTCACAGCAAGCTTCCAACTTGTTCTCTCCTATTGTACCTGGGCCCTGAGATTATGGGACAACACCACTTTCTTTTAGAGTTTGTCTTTTTTCATAATTTATAGTTTCAAAAAGCATGCTCACAAACATATTCTCCTCAGTCAAATAAACTTGACAATTAAGATTTGCCATCAAAAACATTGAATATCCAACCCTTCAGCAGAAATATGTATTTCTGCTAAATTATGGACAATGAAACAGAATACCCAGTCATCACTTAAAGCACGCATAAGCTGTACAGATATATAATGGTTGTTATATTTAGGGATTATTTTCTTAATTTATATGACAAAATGTCTCATTTTCATGGTTCTGAAAATCAAAACTGAATAGCATAGTTCATATTTCTTTAAATATACACATGAGTTCACCTGTACAAACATGTGCACATCCAATCAGAAGGAAGCACTTACTGTCATTTCATTCATGCTCAGAAGTGTAGGGCTAGGTGGCAAGGTTCCAAGGCGAAATTTGAACCCTTCTTCTAAAGTCATTCCCCAGAACTGGCTATAGTTCTGTGCTGTCCATCTACCTTACAAATAAAGCAGAAAAATATGTATAGGTTACATGATATCACTCTTATAAATACACATTTATTTCTAGGTCTTAAAATATATAGTACATATAAGTTATATATTAACATGATCTAAAATATAAGAATTATCAGTACAAGGTGGATAGTCCTTATACAGATGCAACATTGATTATTCTAAAATCAAGTACATGAAACACAAGTCTTAGAATTGAGCAATTTCAGTTATGATCAATATAAGGAACATGGGGTCACATAATTATGTGTTGAAAACAGGAATATAAGATTTTTATATTCTATGAAATGATTAAGTATACTAATGCTAATATATGCAGTTTCCTTTAAGTGTATGTAATTGCTCTTTAGAAAGAAATCTGGCTCCACAGACAAGAACTTATAGGTTAAATAGGACAATCTGTGTTTAGAATTTACATTTGAAAAATTTAAAACATTAAAAGTTGGCTATACATTTCATTTTTGCAGTATTAGAGACTGAGCCTAGGACTGCATACATATAGACAAGTGCTCTACCATGGAGTGGCTGCTTGTAAATTATCATCCTACTTTAAAGAGATTAGATGAGCAACTGGCAATTAAACATTAAGTTAAGTTAATTTGTATCCAGTGTTATCCACTAATAGTTATTTAAGTGCATTATTTAGAAATTAGCTATTAAAATGCATGTTTTTCTGGACTTATTTTTACCTTGCATAGGAAAAAAGGGATTTATTTTCAAAATGTGAGGAAATTTGAAGGTAGGTGATAGTGGCTGAACACTGGACACCTGACAGGCTTCTAAACATTGCTCATCCAAACCATCTACAATGCAGACAAATGCTTTTGGTATTTAAATCAGTTCTAAACTACACTCTTGTATTTATTATTAAAATTACTTATAATGTGACAGGCACTTTTGAGTGATTAGAAATTCAACTAAGTTCTCTGTAGGGGAAGCTGTAGCCACGCCTTCTTAGGGGTCTACACAGTGAGTTTTAGGCTAGCCAGGGATGCATCCTAAAGACACTTAGGGAAGATGGTCCAGCTGTGATTAGGAGCATTTTCTACTCTTGCAAAGGACCTAAATTCAGTTCTCAGCACCCACACAGTGGCTCATAACCTTCTGTAATTCCAGATCCAAGGGATGCAACATTCCTTTTGACCTCTGCAGGCACTGCAGGCCATATTTAGTATAAATACATGCATGCAGCCAGGCAAAACACTCATACACACAAATATATAAATCTATATAAACAGATAAACCTTAAAAACAAAATAAACAAACAACAAAAGAAAAACAACAAGAGTAGATATCTTCCTCTTGCTGGCTGAGTTCTTCTTTCCTTAGAACTCCTACAAGGTGCCTGGCATCCTTGAGTTCAGTTCTGGGGAAATGGTATCTTTGAGACCAGGGAAGTGCAAGAAAGTCAAGATAAAAAGCCACCAACAGAGGAAATATGAGAAAGAGTTATAGACCACAGCACTAAGACTAAGTGGGCTTTTGTCCACACAGAAGCCAGGGCAATTAGAAACATCCAGTAGTGGCGCAGAGGCACACCCTGAAAAACCATGAGGACTTAGGCGTCTGGCCTATCAGAACTCAGAGAACTGATTGGCTCTGCTAGAAACCCAAATTGCAGGCTGAATTTAACCACTAAAGAGGAAATTGGGCAGAAAACCCCAGCAAGCACTAGAAAAGTATAGAGAAATCTAAAATGGAGAGATTTCCAGTGTTCATGTTGTTAATAATTCCCGTCATTGCCTGAAGGAGCTCATGATCAGACTGTGGGGCCACAGAACCAGACTGAGGGAATAGCCAAGAGCTGTGAGAAAGGTTTCTGTGGGACTCCTAACAATGGGAGTGCAGGTGTCTCTGACTCTTTCACCTGCTCTTGGGACCCTTTTCCTCCTACTGGGTTGCCTTGTCCAGCCTTGATATGAGGGCATGTGCCTTATTGTATTTTGTTATGTCTGTTCAGTTGATATCCCCGGGAGGCCTGCTCTTTCTGAGGGAAAGTGGGGGAGTGAGGAGGTGTGGGGAGGTGGAGAAATTTAGGGAAGAGAAACTTTTCTCAGGATGCATCATATGAGAAAAATGAATAAATAAAAATGTTCAAGAAAGAAGAATAAAAAGTAAACTCAGCCTGCCCAAATCCACCATTAAGGAACAGAGGCACATCAGTCTTCAGGGCAACTCCAGAGAAATGGCCCTAAAGCTGGAGTATCTGTATAGTTCATAATCACTCCACCTTCTCTGTTAGAACAAGAGCAAGAGATCCACTAGGATTCAGGGGAGAATGTAACAAGGCTTAAAGCACTGCATGGTTTCCAGAGCAGACCACAAACAATGTAGACAGGAGCTAAAGTGTTGAAAGAGGTGGGACAGGAGATTGTCCTGGGTAGCTTTGCTGTTAACTTGAACCATGTGGGGAAAGGCAAAGCTGATTGAAGAACTATCTGGGACAATTTCTTGATTGTTAATTAGTGTAGGAGGACCCAACCCACTGTGAGCTGTGCTATTCTTATCCAGGTAGACCTGGGGTATATAAAGTAGCTATACCTGGGAGAGAATCCAAAAAGTAGTGTTCTTCCATGGTCTCTACTTCAGTTCCTGCCTTCAGATTCCTGCCTTGAGTTTCTGTCTTGTCTTTCCTCCATGATGAATTGTGAGCTATAAGGCAAATAAACTCTTCCTTCCTCAAGTCACTTTCGATCAGAGTTTTACCATAGCAGCACAGAATCCAGGACAGAGATTAGTAACACTCCCATCCTGACCATGCTACAGAGAGGCTGTGAAGATGATGTTGGTGGTGGACCATGGCATAGTATCTGTATGAACACAGCTAAGCTGTCATCAAGACCTTGATCAAACCATGATAGTTTTAACTGAAGTTGATTTAAATCCTAAGTATAGTCTTGAATGAATCCAGCACACAAGACAAAATCACATAATAAACAAATAAACAAAAGCAAAGAGAAAGGGAAAACTTTTAAATCTGGAGGATATATCCTCTCCAGTGGAAGTGTAAAACACACAAAGAAACAAAATGCATGAGATACCATTTCACCATGGCATGCCCACAGTTGACAGATTATCAGTACTGCATAACAAGATAGCAAACTAGCATAATTGCCAGAGGAAAAATTCAGAGTGCTGCTTTTTATAATGTTTCATGACGAAAAGAAACTCATATAAAAAGATGAGAAATTTATTTAAAGATATGTATAAAAAGAGTTACAAAATCAAGACAGACAAAAAAGTCACCAATGTATGTGAAAGAATAAGTAAGTAGGAGAAAAAAATTAAAGCACCAAGAAAAAATTCAACCTAGAAATTAAGGTCCTGAAAAAGAACCAAACAACACCCTTATTCAACACCAACCACTAATGACTGGCTTGGTAAGACATGCCAACTGGTGCAATAGTGGCATAAACATCACAGGAGTGACAAATCACCTTCTGCTTGTATCTAAGTCTGATTCCACAGAATAAAATCCATACCTGACATCATCATCAGATAAGAACCCATGACTAAATAGATGATGGCTCTTAGAGGAGGTAAAAATGCTAGAAATTCTGCCAATGGACTTGGTATTAAACTGACTCCTAATGACTTATATTTGTACTCATAGATTAATACTTCTCTTATTTTTCATGAAAGATTCTCCTAATTGCAGTATATTGTGCTTAAGACAATAACTCACAATTGGCCAAAGAAAAGAATATAAGAGATTTCACAATATTCAACACTAAAAGAAACATACATATCGCAACCCTCATCCCAAGTTTCAGGGATTTTTTGCAGATGAGAATGAGTGTAAAGGAGTCAGAGGCAAGGAATATCTAAAAGGAAATGTAATCTTTTGGACATAGGAGGTCAGCTGTACACGTGAACTCACGGGATTTCAACAGCATGAATAAAACCCACACAAGCCCAAGCCAGAGCAAATCTCAGTAAGTAGAGGGGAGCTGGATACATAGTCTGACACCTTGCTGTAGAACTATTGTCAATTTTTATGTATTGTAAGAGGGAGAGAGTTTTTCCCAAGAGCAGAGTTCCTGGAAAGTCAGCACCACTTTCCAGTAGAAGACCACATAGCCAAGAATATTTGAGATTTATTGAAGAGAAGATTGGGGAAGAGGGGTGAATATGATCCAAATACATATGATATTTTCAAAGAACTAATAAAATTAATAAAAAGAAAAGTCCCAGCTGAATCCATTCCAAAATGTTGGCATGCACAAATTAAGAGAATGTGTTTTATTTTGTTTTGCTGTATTGTTTGTTTAGTTTAGTTTTTCAGGCAGTGTGTCACTCTGTAGCCCAGACTGGCTGTGTCATACTCAGACTGACCTCAAACTCAGAATGATCCTCCTGCCTCAGCCTCTCAATTACTGGGATTACAGACTTGAGGCTCCAGCTACTAAGCTGAGTTTGATTGAGTTTGTAGATTGCAAGTGTTGAATCTGGAGTGTTTGCTTCATAACTTCAGATAAATATAACAGGTATGTATCTCCCTTTGTTCTAATTCACTGAGGATTATTTGTGCAATTTTAATTCAGCTTTCTGTTCTGGCCTTTTATAATGGTATGGCATGCTGGCTTTTATAGTACAGGGTAAATTAGTTTAAGGTAAAATTATTTATTTATATTCTCAGAAATGCCATGGAAGAAAGACATTTTTATTAATTATTGCCATGAAAAATAATGCAGAGAAATGGGACAGAGTGTTTCAAGCCTGTAACATAAGAGCTTGGAAGAGTGAACAAGAAAGACTGTCTTTACTTTGAGATCAGCCTGAGCTGTGCAGCAAAATGCTGTCTAAGTAAATAAATAAACAAATAAATAAGTTAAATTAATTAAATAAATTAAATAAATAAAGTGGGTAAATCTGCACTGTAGTATATTATGTACAATAAATACAGACCTAAGCTACAGTGAAGACTTGGGGAAGCAGAGCTTGTATATTTATTTGTCAGTCATATGCTTTAATGTTTTCTACAAAACTAGAAACTATGCCTCACAAATAGCCCTCCATTCTACTCAAATCAAATAAGGGAAGGAAAATTCTTCCTCCAAGGAAGACAGGTACCCAACAATATCTATGTTCTGAAGAATGCTTGCTTTCCATCCTGCCTGAAAGTGGTTCCTGTGCATGCTGTAGCAGTTGGAAGCTGGACAGTTCTCTTATGATTTCTTGGAAATCTGTGCTGCTTAGGTACAGTTTTGAATCCTGTAAGAAACTTGACTAGGGTCATTTATCATGATGAAACATACTCTTGTGTTTGTTATGTCTTTTCAATGATTTGGATATAATTTCAGAACAGGAAACCATGATTGGTTTCCCCAGAAATACTCAAATGTCATCAAGCTACCACCTAAAATACTGGTTAAACAACCTGTCATGCAGAGAACTTGAGAATGACTTCAGAATACTAATGTCAAAAAATGTGACTTTCTGTACTTGGTGTCTTCCAAGAAAATACTTTCGATACAATGAAATTCACTGTCAGCAATGTCCTGGGAGATGTAAAATCTTATACCTGAAAGAAATAGTACTTATATTTTAAAAATGTATCTCAGAGGCCTTTGAGATAGATCAGGATGTAATGGACCTTACTACCATGTCTGATGTAAGGAGTTCAAAACCAAGGGTCCACATGGCAGAAGGAGAGTGCCCACTCCCTCAAGTTTTGCTTTACTATCAGACATGAGCTACAATATGAGCATTATACACAACCATCTTACTCCCACCCTCCTGCACACACACACACACACACACACACACACACACACACAAATTTCTAAAAATGTAATTTCAAGGGGTCTTTAAAAGTACACATCTCAAAATTACTTCACTTTTCTGGTTGCTTCAACATAATCTTTTTATGTTCAGTATTTTACATAATGTCAATAATGTTCTCAATGGAATATAGACCGGTAAGTGACAGTGAAGAAATTTTAAGACATAGATTATCCAAGCTATTCCCCTTTTATTCATTTCTGTAAAGGAAACAAATGTGGGTACCTATATCATATTTCCCTGTATGTAAGTGGAGAAGCAACCTCATTTAATAGTCTTCAGCTGAACAACAGCTGTTCCTGGTGTTTCTTGGTCATTCTTCTATCTTAAAATGGATAGCAATATAGTACGTTTCCACATCCTTTGATGTCAATGTAAGTAAAATTGGTTAAATGTCAGTCATTTACATGAAACTGATTAGTGCTATACTGCAGGTGTTGGCAAGAGAGAACACAATCTTTTTTAGTTCATAGTCTACCTAGGATAGCTGAGCATGAGTTTGTTTTGGTTAAGGCAAAAACAGGGAGAAAATTATCAGACTGAATCAGTCTGTTCAACTCTCTGATCTCAGTCTCTCACCACCACACAATGACACTAATCTTTCATAGATACTCTAAGGTTAACATCAATGTTTTCATTTTACTTAAACATTTTATTTTAAACATTTAATGTTCACCTTATACATCTGAAATACACATTTCTAAAGAGTCTCCCTTCATATCTATTTGCCAGTCTTTCTTTATAATTAGTGACTATGGTTAGAATTAAATGATATACAGTATGTGTTTTGAGTAAGTGAAAATGCCAAGAAGCCTATACTAAAAGATGAGCTTACCCATAATCCCCTTTATTGATGTGCTCAATCAACTCTGGGTGAACAAGGCACACATGCTGGGAACAATTCCATTGACGTCCTGAGCATGTACTATAAAGACAAAAAAAATTACAAAAGTCCTTTGACCTTTACAGAGTATGTTTCCAGAATAGTAACAAGAATGGTGTATTGTTAAGTAAGTCGTGGAACAAATTTCTTGATTAATTTTAGCCACGTGGCTGTTTGATTGTTGGAGAAAATAAATCATAAAACTGCATTAGGTGCTAGTCAATGAGCTCTTATCCTCTGAAGTAAATACATATGACATGACCCTACATTCAATGACATTTAAAAGCAAATTAAAATATAGATTCAATATGCTTATACATGAAATTTTTCTGCAGGCTAATCCAATTTAAGCAGCATCTTTTCATGAGTACTTACTGTGTTCAAAAAAGCATGGTTTGTTAACGGTCTATCAAAACATTCATAATTTACAGTATGCTTAATGAGCACTTGATATATGGAGAAGGCTTACTATAAAAACATCAAATTAAATACATACATAATTACAGTTCCAAAATTGTTTTCATGTTTCTGAAAATTTATGTCTTATGGAATGCGATTTTTTTACCTAGATGCATTTAAATGTATGTTTTAATCAGAAGATTTCCTCATTCCAGAAGAAAAACACAGACAATAGAGGTCCATTCTGTGTCACTTAGATTACTTACCAGGAGTTGCAGTTTTCCTTAACTACTGATCCTTCTTCATAATGTTGGCTATTTCTGGAGCAACCTGATGACAGCACATGTAAACAAATGAAAATTCTGAACTGAATAAACCATATTCATATGACAAGTCATCTACGATTGTCATTGGTTGATAGAATGTGGCAAACTACTTAGTGCCAATCTGATAGCAGTCTTCATCTGGTTTGTGCTATAAGAGATTATGAGAACCAGAGGCTGTGAATAAAAAATAACAGTACCATCAGACATGACAGGACTGGTACACAAATGAATTCACAGACATCATGGCAGCACACAAAGACCTGCACAGACAGGGTCCCAGCACTGAAAGGAGAAAGGAGACCAGATTTCATCTCTAAACAGGAAGCTATTTGCAACTGATAGCCCCTTACAAAGGAAAATAAGTTTTCTATAATGATATGTGACTGGGTATATAAACAACACCTCAGGGCTGGCCCCATGATCAAGAGTAATTAGGCAACACAAAATGAACTCCATGTCGTTTTGTGTGTGAGATTTTTGTTTCATTTTGTTTTGTTTGGATATTTTCATATTATATTATTTGTTTGTTTTGATTTTCCATTTTGTGTGTTTTTTTTTAGAGGGAGAGATCAAAAGACACAGAAAAAGTTAGATGACTACAGAGGTAGAGAGGATGGGACAGGAGTTGGGACATGAGAAAGATATATATCAAAATATATTATGTGAAAAATATTTAAGCAAAATAAAACAAATAAGAAAAAGAGATCCAAATATTAACTGAAATTTATTTTTAACTGGTTTATAAAATTATGTAAATGTAAATTATCCAAAGAGAACAATGGTGAATTATGGTAATATGGAAAATTTTGGAAAAATGCTATGACATTAATATCCAGGTTATAAACTAAGTCAGTTTTTGTTTTTTTTTGTTGTGTTTTTGTTTGTTTGTTTGTTTGTTTTGGTTTTTTGAGACAGGGTTTCTCTGTGTAGCTTTGGAGCCTATCCTGGCACTCACTCTGGAGACCAGGCTGGCCTCAAACTCACAGAGATCTGCCTGCCTCTGCCTCCCGAGTGCTGGGATTAAAGGCGTGTGCCACCACACCGGGCAAACTAAGTCAGTTTTTAAAATATAATTTTAAGAAATTTAAAACCAATATTAAATTAACAATATGAACCCCTCTTTGTGCAATGGAACATTTTAAAACAAAAATATATATCTGATTTATAATACAATGGCTCCAAAATTAGCAATAGGGTCAACACATGTTCCATGGTCTCCAGACTAGTCCATGAAATGCTTGTCACAGTCACATGACAGCTTCTCAGTTCAAACCCTCTGGTTTAAAAGCATGAAAGCTGCCATTGATATTCTGTTTAATCAAATAATCTCCAAATAATCTCCAAATATCTGCATCTCTCCCCTCTTTTCCATGGACGTTTGGTGTTCCATAATCATTGACTGGACTCTCCTGACCAAATAAGAATTATGGTTTAATTTAAGTTGTAAGAGTTTGTTAGTAATAAGCCTGAACAATAGACCAAACAGTTTTTAATTAATAAAAGACTCTCTGTGTTTGTTTGGGACTGAATAGGTGCAGGGCAGGGTGGGACAGTGTGTTTAGGCAAGAAAGAGTTATCCAGAACTGAGCTCAAAGTGCTCCATATAGGAAAGATTTAAAAGAAACTGGAAATGAATGGCCTGTAAGGAAACAGGGAATTCAATAGAGGTTGAATCTAAAAGAAAAGAATTTCTTACAAGCAAAGTGGCTGGTACAATGGTTAGTTTTGTTTGTTTGTTTGTTTGTTGTTGCTATGTGATCTTGGAAGAGAAACCCTCAGTTGTGACAATATCTCCATCAGAATAGCCTGTAGGCAAGGCTGTGTGACAGTTTTAGATTAATGATTGACGTGGGAAGGTCCATAGTGCGCAGCACCATCAGTAGGCAGGTGGCATAAGAAAACAACCTGAAGAAGCAATGAGGAGCAATCCAGGAAGCAGCACTCCTCTGATGCTTCTGCTTTAGTTCCTGCCTCCAGGTTCAGCCTTGGATGTCTGCCATGACTACTACCCAGGATAGTGGTTCTTAAGTTGTCAGATGAAAAAAAAAAAAAAAAAAAAAAAAAAAAAAAAAAAAAAACCCTTTCCTCTCCAAGCTTATTTCGTCATGAGGTTTATCAATTTTTATCAAGTAATGGGAAACAAGCCAGTACAGACAGTCATGGACAGCATTACCCTAGATTAAGAGCAAGAAAGGAAAAATCTGGACTTTACATCCACTACTGTCAATGGCCACGTCAAGAAATGATCAGCAGAGTATCAAAGAGCAATCCTGTTGGAATAAGTTGATGCAGAACTTGAAAGAAAGAATGCAGTTTTTTCTTTAATTTATTTTGCCATTAAATGGACAAAGGGGAAAAATAGAGAATTTAAAAATAGCAGAGTCAAAGAAAGGTCTTTTTTTAAGTTTAACTGAGAGAGGTAGAGGTATGTTGTGTGCGTGGTGTGTTGTGTGTGTGTGTGTGTCAGAGAGAGAGAGAGAGAGACAGAGAGAGACAGAGAGAGAGAGAGAGAGAATTGTAATGCAAAAGAGGACTTGAGAAGACAATGGGATACAAGACTCCGAGGTCACAAGAGGGAATCAGTTCAACTGAAAAAAGGACCAGGAAGGAACTGGGATGAAGCAAATCCTATGCTGATGGAGCCATAAGAAAATTCTTTTTTTATAAAATGTATATGAAGTATCTCCAAGCAAGCTCACCAAATTCTTTATACATATCATACATGTATCAGTTTTGTCCAAAACACTGCATTAAATTAAAAATAAACCTAATGACTATTGAAATTAAAGGAGTCTTACAACTTTAACAGCTTTTAGAATTAGTCAAATATTTGAAGAGGGAAATAGTTGGTCTTGTTGCTTCGAGAAAGGATAATAATATGGTGCCTGTGATTTATTTTAAAATACTTCATCACTGTGTGTTATAAATATCTGTGCAGGCTGAAGCTGCACTGTAGGAAAGGGAGTCACTTGCTGTAATCAGGAATCTGCACCACAGGGGTGTGCACCAGCACGCATTCTAAGAGGCCAGACTTGAGGGTAGCTGCTCTAAATGCTTACATTATCCACCGTTTCAGCCACAGAATTAGCATAGTGAATACAAAAATGGGATTTCATTGGCAAAATCAGTGGCTTGTTAATAAGCACAGTGGATCTAAATAGTTTACATTGGTTAACAGTATTTGATTTAGTTGATGAGCTAAAATATTTCAATGTCACATTGTACCCCTAACCTCACAGTTCATATTCATCTATTATTCCTTAATAATAGATAAACTCTTCTGTATGTGCACTGTGGCACAGGCACAGCCACACACACACAAACACACACACATGAATGTAATGAAATGTTTAATAAATAAAGGGCAAATCATATACAATTGTGGATGTGGTACCCTCAGATTGATCTTTATCCTTCATACTGTGGCATCACTTAAGAAGATTTGCAATTTGACACCTACTCTAAGAGTAAAAGAACCTGTATAACAGTTCCTCCAGTATTTTTTGTTTGTTTGTTTGTTTGTTTTTGAGACAGGGTTTCTCTGTGGCTTTTGGAGGCTGTCCTATAACTAGCTCTTGTAGACCAGGCTGGTCTCGAACTCATAGAGATCTGCCTGCCTTTGCCTCTCGAGTGCTCAGATTAAAGGTGTGCACCACCACCGC